GGATGGATGTCATCGCAGCAAGGGTATAGCAAAAATAGTTTAGTTATTTTTTTAACCGAATAAAGTGTGTTTATTGAAGAGACATCAATTTCCATTTTAACCAATGGCAGTATTATGTGTGTTGTTATGCCATCACACAATCAATTAGGACGAACCGCACTGTGATGACCCATGGTAAATGCAAAATCTGACATATCTGATTTGGAGAAGATTTTTTTACACGCAATGCCGTCGTTCTGCAGCAAATCCTGACGCATTTTAGCACTACAGTTGGAGCAGCATCAGATTTGATGTTGAAATGATCTGAAATTCAAACTCAAATTACATGTACGATACATGTGTTCAATCTTTCATCACGTTTCAACATGTAAAACAGAACGTTTGCAACACAAGCAAGGAATCCTTATTTGCATGGTTCTTTTTATTTTGTTTTCTTTTCTTCTCCAGACCCATACTGTGGTCACCACCACCCCTGGCGTTGGTGGCGCTGTCATCGTGACCCAGCACACTGGCCCCCCACAACAGGGCTATGCAATGCAGGGGCACTACCCACCCCAACAGGGCTAAGCCCCCCTGGGCTACAGCCCCCGGCAGGGCTATGCCCCCCAGCAGGGCTATGCCACCCAACAGGGTTATCCTGCCAAGGAGCCAATCCCTCCAAAGGTTTAGGCGCGTGTTAAGCTGTCATCTTCAATACTGAGGATTTAAGGATTTAAATTTCTAATAAGGAAAAGTGGCAGTTTCAATCTTTGTCAGACTGTGGTATCAAGGCAAAGTACATCTTAAAATAGATTGTGTTTGTAGAGGATGGTTGGTGTTTTTTTTTTCAAACGAGAGTATATTACGTATATTTTGGTATATTCATCGGCTCTTTTTTTCCTGTGTACAATAAGCTATGCTTCCAAACTGATACAATTTGGTGATTTAGATGGTGTTTTCTTAAAAAAAGTTATTATGTATTCGGAAACACTCGCTTTTGTGGCACAAAGGTCTTTGCAGAAATGCCGAACCATTCTGACAGATAAAAGGTATTTCCCTTTACATCTTAAGACAATACGGAAGGCTTTACGCTCACTTTAAGTCTTATTTCAGTCCATTTACGCAAAATATACATAATCACGAGCTAAATAATAATAATAACAGTAATAATAATAATCACGAGAGTTAGAATTTTTGACTGATGTCACTTTCAACCTATGGTACTGGACCAGCCGCCAATACCATAATGGGGGGCCTGACTGTGTCTGGATTAGCCTTTGTAGGCCCACACCTTCTGTTCAGTATTTTAACGTTTGTTTAGGCATTTTTTAAGCGAATTTTTCCGAAACATGTTTTCTTAGTAAACGGTTGAATTACTACTTGCACGATTCGATTCTTTCTTACCTTTGGCCTTGCAGCTGTTGCAGGGAATGGTGGGTTTTGCGCCTATTCCATCATAAAAATACTGGACTGTATCACGTACCATAGAGATGACAGAGAAACAAATGTATTATTTTTCTCAACTCTGACCGATTCAGAAATTGAGAGACGGATGTGCTTTGTTCAGTCTGCAAAATTGAAGGCCAGTGGGACGAAGTCCCTCATACTATTTGTCATGATATAATGCCGCAGTCGACAGCCTATAAGACAATCGCAAGAGCAGCACATGATCTCTGATATTAATTGAAGCTGCAAACTTTTCATGACAAAAGCATTCCTTTGTCACTGTTGACTCTGTGACGCGTGGCTGGGCGTCTTGTGACTTGTCTTGCGGCGGGATTTTTTCTGGCTTGCAACTGCTTTGACTGAAACAGTTTCACATGCATTGATCAGCACTGATCGTAACGAAACATGCACAGGAAAGCATTCAACCGACGCACACAGGCTCACCAAGAAAAACACAAACANATGGGCGTGGCCGCCTGCAAGATGTCATCGCAGCAAGGGTATAGCAAAAATAGTTTCGTTATTTTTTTAACCGAATAAAGTGTGTTTATTGAAGAGACCTCAATTTCCATTTTAACCAATGGCAATATTATGTGTGTTGCTATGCCATCACACAATCAATTAGGACGACCCACACTGTGATGACCCATGGTAAATGCAAAATCTGACCTATCTGATTTGGAAAAGATTTTTTACACGCAATGCCGTCGTTCTGCAGCAAATCCTGACGCATTTTAGTGCTACAGTTGGAGCAGCATCAGATTTGATGTTGAAATGATCTGCAATTCAAACTCAAATTACATGTACGATACATGTGTTCAATCTTTCATCACGTTTCAACATGTAAAACAGAACGTTTGCAACACAAACAAGGAATCCTTATTTGCATGTTTTTTTTTAATTTTGTTTTCTTTTCTTCTCCAGACCCATACTGTGGTCACCACCACCCCTGGCGTTGGTGGCGCTGTCATCGTGACCCAGCACACTGGCCCCCCACAACAGGGCTATGCAATGCAGGGGGACTACCCACCCCAGCAGGGCTATGCCCCCCAACAGGGCTACGCCCCCCTGGGCTACAGCCCCCAGCAGGGCTATGCCCCCCAGCAGGGCTATCCTGCCCAGGAGCCAATCCCTCCAAAGGTTTAGGCGTGTGTTAAGCTGTCATCTTTAATACTGAGGATTTAAATTTCTAATAAGGAAAAGTGGCAGTTTCTATCTTTGTCTCCTTCTCCAGGCAAAGCAGACTGTGGTATCAAGGCAAAGTACATCTTAAAATAGATTGTGTTTGTAGAGGATGGTTCGTGGTTTTTTTTTCAAACGAGAGTATATTACGTATATTTTGGTATATTCATCGGCTCTTTTTTTCCTGTGTACAATAAGCTATGCTTCCAAACTGATACAATTTGGTGATTTAGATGGTGTTTTCTTAAAAAAAAGTTATTATGTATTCGGAAACACTCACTTTTGTGGCACAAAAGTCTTTGCAGAAATGCCGAACCATTCTGACAGATAAAAGGTATTTCCCTTTACATCTTAAGACAATACGGTCACTTTAAGCCTTATTTCAGTCCATTTTTCGCAAAATATACATAATCACGAGCTAAATAATTAAAAGTCGATAGCGTTAGAATTTTTGACCGGTGTCACTTTCAACCTATGGTACTGGACCAGCCGCCAATACCATAATGGGGGGCCTGACTGTGTCTGGATTAGCCTTTGTAGGCCGACACCTTCTGTTCAGTATTTTAACGTTTGTTTAGTCATTTTTAAGCGAATTTTTCCGAAACATGTTTTCTTAGTAAACGGTTGAATTACTACTTGCACGATTCAATTCTTTCTTACCTTTGGCCTTGCAGCTGTTGCAGGGAATGGTGGGTTTTGCGCCTATTCCATCATAAAAATACTGGACTGTATCACGTACCATAGAGATGACAGAGAAACAAATGTATTATTTTTCTCAACTCTGACCGATTCAGAAATTGAGAGACGCATGTGCTTTGTTCAGTCAGCAAAATTGAAGGCCATTGGGACAAAGTCCCTCATACTATTTGTCATTATATAATGCCGCAGTCGATAGCCTGTAAGACAATCACAAGAGCAGCACATGATCTCTGATATTCATTGGAGCAGCAAACCTTTCATAACAACAGCATTCCTTTGTCACTGTTGACTCTGTGACGCGTGGCTGGGCGTCTTGTGACTTGTCTTGCGGCGGGATTTTTTTTCTGGCTTGCGATGGCTTTGACTGGAACATTGTTACATGCGTTGATCAGCACTGATCGTAACAAAACATGCACAGGAAAGCATTCTATCGACACAGACAGGCTCACCAAGAAAAACACAAAAANTCAAGGCCAAACTCAGCAACTGAAACACTGCGGCTAAATTTAACAACTGTCTCCACTACCGGGGGTGGTAAATTTAAACCAAAGTGTTCAAACTCCAAAGTAGAAAAACTAGACAAGTGCTAACCGTTAAAACCCTAAAATAATTTTGATCGTTCTAGCAAGTTAATTTTGTTGCCAACGCAGCTCGTCCTTGTTAAGCCTTTTCCAGTTGTACTCAGTGCATACTCAGATGTAAATTGCGCATTTGGAATGCAATCTTAATAATACGTTACTCAGAAGACATCGTTTAAGTACATGTAAGCACCTATATGCATTTAAGTATATGTAATCTGTTCGCAGCTGTAGTCAGCCCGTAACTTAAGGTAGTTTGCTAAACTTAAAACTGTTCACTTAAGTGAGCAAGATGGTTTGTACAATTAAGTTCAACTCCTACAGTACTGATTTTTTTACTTGATCCAACATGTATTTTTCACTGAGTATGGTAAAAGCCTTGCCTTTAATCTTGCTATTATTTTTTTTACAAAGTAACTTTCGCATGGAAGTGCATATAACTGGACGCTGACAATGGCTTTTCACTTTTTCTACCGTTTTTCAACTGGTTTTTTAATTTTTACTAAGTTTGTAACTAGATCAGCCACTATAAACATTTAAAGAGAGTAGTTATTGCCAGTAGGCCTACATGGTTGCTTGCTTCTTTATTGTTGTGACTGTGCATTTATTTTGTGGGGCATAAATTGGGTGAAGCCTAATTCATCATTGAATTTCTTCCATGATGCTGGCGACATTTAAGAATCGTGCACTGAATTTCATATTTCCTTAGCACTCCGTCTCGGGCATTAAATTTGTCTGCCAAGCAATTGATGTAAGTGTATACAATGTACATCGTAAATTTTCATGAAGTAAGACGCGTTTTCGAGGTGCAGGCTGGACCAAGAGAGGGCGCAAATTTTCTTAGCAGTAGAGGATACTTTGTCCGGAACTGAGCTTCGCTGCTTTACGAGTAGAAAACTCACGCACTTCGGTCGCATCACCACAAAGGAAGGAAACGCTCCCGAACAATATGGCTGTCTTCAACCAAATGTGGGGCGCTTCTGCTCGAGGCGCACTATCTGATGAACTATTTACAGAACAATTCGTGTTTTCGCCCCGTATTCTCACCTGACACTGGTTCCCGAGTTTTCCTTTGTTGAGTCACATTGATTCTGTTCCTTTCAGCTTACATGAAAGC